AAATGGGCATCTGAGATGAACATACACTTCTCAGATGAAGAAATACAAGAAGCAAATAAATACATGAAAAAATGCTCCACATCACTAGCCATTGTGAAATGCAAATTAAAACAACACTGAGATATGATGTCACTGCAGAAAGAATGGCCATCATAAAGAAATCAACCCACAACAAATGTTGGAGAGGCTCTGGGGAAAAAGGAACCCTTCTCCAGTGCTAGTGGGACTGTAGACTGGTGCAACCATTATGGAAATCAGTTTGGAGACTCCTCAAAAAACTAGGACTGGAAATCCCATTCAATCTAGCTATTCCCTTTCTGGGAATTTTCCAAAAAGAAATGTAAATATTATATCATAGTGATGTATGTGCACCTATGTCTATGGCAGCATAATTTATGATAGCCAAATCTTGGAAACAACCAAAATGCCCATCACCTGAGGAATGGATGAAAAGATGTGGTGTTTTTATACAATGGAATATTACTCAGCTCTAAAGAAAAATAAACTCAAAGCCTTCATATATAAGTGGATGCTACTTGAAGATATATTCATAAGTGAAATAAACCAGACCCACATGTGTAAATATCATATTGTCTCCTTAGTGTAAAAACTCAAAAGAAGAAATAAAAATTGAAAGGTATAACATAATTAAAGGGAAAGTGAGAACTTAAGGATTAAACAATGAAGAGAGAGGAAGCAGAAAAGTTAAGAAATAAGGCAGGAGCAAAACCATGCATTTATATAAATAAGATAGTCAAGGCAAGAATCTCCATCAGGCTTTTGAAAACAGCAATTAATGGGTGTAGAATTCTCACCCTGACCAACTCTATATGCTGACATCTGTGAACTAAGCAATAGCCATGTATAGCACTAAGACCATGCTTGAAATACTATCATTTTATTCTTCTAAATGCATACTGCTTCTAATGTCATATCAAGTAGTGCTATACTCTTTGAAGTAAACATTTAAAAAGATAATAAAAGAAATAAGAGATAAGAAAAAAATGTCATAGAATTGTCTTGCTGTAATTTTTATATATTTTTTAATTTCTAAATTTCTGTGTAAGAATGTGTAATTTTCTTTTCACACAGTATAGGGATTTAAAGTTCAGAATATCCGTGGTTGTTGAAAAATACCAGTTCCATGTTATGCCTAAGGTGTTTGATATTCAGACAGATAGTGATGTTAAGCTCAACTGCCTCTGTTACAGGGTAATAGTATCATGAAGTTTCTCTTCTGGATCTTTTATTTTGTTTTGTTTTGTTGGCAGAACCAGGGATTGAATTCAGACCCTTGTGCTTGCCATGGAAGTGCTTATTCCACTGAGCCATCTCCCCAGCCCCTTTCTTTTGGATCTTTAACAACTAAAGTTTGCAGACCAAATATTAGAGAAATAGAGCAGCTACAAGGATATCCAATATTTTGGCCCTAGCCCTCCAAGGTCAGGGAGGACTCAGGACATAAGAGGACATGTGCTGTGACATCTATAACTCAGTGGTGTCCCAAATTTTCTGATCAAGGAGATTATGGGTCCACAGAGGAAGGTGATTGATGATGTAGAGTGTGCCTAAGAGGAGTCACATGGAGAGAAAACATTCTCTCAGGCTTTCGCAGAGAGCAAATTGGTCAAGCAATGGCCATGACTCATCCAGATGGCTGACACTGACAAAAGATCTACAAACTGCTGTACATGGTTTCAGGGTAAATCCTGAGAGGATTTGACTGACTTTGTAAAAAACAAAAGCTACATTTCTTGTTATATAGGTCTTGATTTAATTTGATTTTAACCATCCAGCAGAAAAGTATAATCATGAGGTATAAAAAGTAAAGCCATATTAATATACTGAGCTGTAAAAGGCTCAAGTCAACAACTTCTGACAATTGCCAGCCTGCTGATAACCCACTATTATTATGGACGATTGGACTACATTGTATATTGGGCTATTTCATTGAATTCACGTACCTACAGTATTTGAACTGGCATCAAGTATGAATAGGTCTTTTAAAGACTTCTCCAAATATAGCTTATCTAACAGCAATGGAACACCCATCTCTGACAGAACAAAACAAAAAAGGGGGATATAAACATAAGTCCATCTTGTAGTGAAAAAAAATATATGTGTGTACAAAACTGTTAGGATATGTATACAGCCACTGTCTTAGTTCAATGAGAAGAAAGATTTGTACTAATAGTGTTTAGACAAGAGATCATGTCTGCATCTTGTACTGTGAATAACTACTATGAAGACAACAATATGCAATGCATTAATGATTGAAACTGTCCTACTAACCTGTTTTGAAACTGTCTCATTGCTATTTTTTCTCATTAAAATTAATAAAAAATTCGAAAAAATAGTCATTTAAACAATAACAATAGTAAAGAGGGACAGAATAAGTAACATGAATGTAAGCATGGAATTGTTTGAATAAAGAATCATAGTGCTGCCTTGACCTACTCTGGGCATCTGCTGAAGAGACTGGACATAGTATGCCAGGTGCAGCACAGGGCTGTATCCCAGGACTCAGACCTCTGAAAGAAAGGGTTGACTTTGAGGCCAGCTGGGACTACAGAGACACCTAGCTCAAAAACTTTCTGTAATACACAGGAATGAAAAAGATTAGAGTTTAAAGCTAAATGAAATTTAAAAAATAATACAGGCTTGGGTGTTAACCCTTTCCTTACAGAGATTCATAATGTATCAGACAATATAAATTATAGAAAGACATTTTTTTAAAATTTTACTTTGACCCAGCATTGGGAAGAGCACAGCATTGGGCGGCTGTTGGCCAGCCCTGCCGAGTCTCTATCCACATCAGTTCTCTAAAGCAGAGAAACCCAGGCTTCCCTAACTTGACCTGAAATAATCCCACTGGCAGTCAGTGAAAGCAAAAATGCAGTAAGTGCCTTCATATGTCTAACTTTCCTCCATAAGAGATGCTCCTGACATGCTAGAGAGACCAGTATGTGGAGTCTCAATGTGCAATGAAGAGGCAAGCAAGGACAGCTTGTGTCTCTTAATCAGGTATTTCACCTACTGACTGAGAGAGAGAGCAGCTCAGGTGGAAGGTGGTCTTGCCTGGAGATACAGATTACAGATAATGGGGGCCTCATTTCTCCAACAATGACTTCTCAGTGCAGGTTAAGGGGTGAAAGTTAGGCTTATGTAAGGCTTATGCTGAATTAGTGCCCCATGGGTGGGATCAATTTCATTTGTACACAGCCCAATCCCACAATCCACAGAAAGGGTCCCAAGGCCATTATGGGAGGGAGCCTCTGCACTGTTCAAAGCAGCCTGGTTTTTCTAGCCATGGCACTGCCCACAGCTTTCACGGACTTTTGATTATGGTTAAGGTCTTGGTAAAGATACTCAGTGAAGAGGGCCTTCCGTGCTGCTTCAGCACCTGGCAGGAAATGTGGACCAAATATATTCAAAGTGAAAGGATCAGCAACTTAGGTCAGAGGTAGTGTCTCTCTGGCAAGCGTGAGATCGGGAGTTCAATTCTTGGTAACAAAAAACAACAACAAAACAAAACAAGCAAAAGGGAGTAGTTTGAGAGCCTAATGGCAATGCATTTTTTTTGATAATGAACTTTTGATACAAAATTATACTTTTTCTTTTTGCAGTACCTGGGATCAAACTCAGGACCTTGTGCTTACAGTCAGGTGCTTATGCCACTGAACTATCACCCCAACCCTCTTCACCACATAGTTCGATCATACCATGTATGTGAAGATGGCAATATTTTAAAAAAAACTATAATCATCACAGGTGCATTTTGTATACTTCACCATCTCAGAAAGCACAACTCTGCAATTCCAGTGTTCAGACAATCACCTTGATAAGATGGGTTTTCCTCAGCCCTTTAGACTGCTTCTTGCATTTTTTCGTGGTACTCAGAACTGAAGTCCTTGCCTGTGCACTGAAATATATCGTCAGGCCCCTTTAAATGTCTTAGTGAGTTTCTCATTTGTTTGTTAAGTTGCTTAAGCTGGGCTCCAACTTGAAATCCTCCCACCTGCCCTTGTAAGAGATGGAATTTCTGACCCCTACAACACACTAATACATTGCATTGCCTGCCACACTCCTACCACACTGCAGGTTCCCAGCCAAGAATTTATCTTTGGCTAAAAATATTAGCACAAATCTTTCTTCTCATGAACTCATTAAGAGAAAGTAGCTGTATATCTATCCTGATATGTGTGTGTGTGTGTGTGTGTGTGTGTGTGTATATATATATATATATATGTATTTCACTACAAAATGGTCCTTTATTTATATCCCCTGTTTTATTTTGTTTTGTCTTGTCAGAGATGGGTGTTCCATTGCTGTTAGAGAACCTGTATTTGGAGAAGTCTTTAAGGGGTCTTTTCATACTTGATGCCAGTTCAAATATTGTAGGTACGTGAATTCAGCAAAATAACCCAATATAGTCCAATAGGCCATAATAGTAGTGAGTTATCAGCACAATTGGCAATGGCCCAAAGTTGTTGACTTGAGCCTTTTATAGCTCAGCATATTAATATAGCTTTACTTTTTATACCTCATTCTGGATCTTGTCCTCCGAATAACTACTACGAAGACTACAATATGAAAATGTGTTAATTATTGTAACTGTCCTACTAACCTGTTTTGAAACTGTTTCATTGCTATTTTTTTCTCATTAAAATGAAAAATTAAAAACAAAAACAAAAAATACATTAAAAATAAGTCTGAATATAATGAAATATATATATATATGTGTGTGTGTGTGTGTGTGTGTGTGTACATAATGAAACTTTCTGTAACATCACCTAGCTTCAATAATTAACATTGCGGCATTCTTGTATAAAGTTTCTTCCAAAGACTTTTTACTTAAGCATTTCTATGAAGATGTTTTAACAATTATAATCACGCTATTGCGCTACTACACTACTATTCTAAAATTAACAGTATGTCATTAATATTATGACTTGTCTATACACCATTAGAATTTTCTCAGTTGTCAAAAAAAATATTACCTTTGGGAGCCATGGCAGATAATCCGGTGCACCCTCTCCAAGTACCACTGCTATCCAAGACCCCCGTGAGAGCTGCTGTCCAAAGTGAGGGGAGTGTGGCAATGAGGACTCTGAAGCAGAGCTCTTTAAATGCCCTCCTGAGGCCTCCGCCCCACAGGACAGGCTCATCCTTTCAGGCACCACCCACCCACTGAAGGCTTGGGGCAATCTCCGCCCTTCCATTCCCAGCTCCAGCCAGTCTCTGCCTTAGGCAGGCCTCAGCCTCACTTCAGACAAGGCAGAGCCTTGCAGACAGCTGCCTCTACCTAAGGGGCCTTCCCACTTCCTACCTTCCATCACTCAGCACCCAACACAGCTTGCATTTTATTTAATCCCTCTCATAGACTTGGTGTCAGTCAAATGTTTTGAGCAGTGTGAGCAGGGACACTGAGACATCGAGACAACAGGTTGAGCCCCTCAGCCCAAAGCTCAGGCTTGGAGCCCTCACACGCCTGTGCTCCCAGCTGCTGGCAATGTGTGGAAGGAGCCTCAGCTGCCTCACCCTCACCACCTAGCCTGAGTTTGTCCTTGATTAAGGTGTGGTCTGATTGGAGTCAGGAGAGACTACAGGTTGCCACTAAAGATATTAGAAGACAGTATTTCTTGGATAGTAGATTGTCTTATTTTGGAGAGGAAAGGCTCAAAACCAAACACAGAACTTTCACACTGAGCTGTTTCTCATTCTTTATTTGTATTTTATTGATATGCAGAGTCTCTCCAAGTGACTGATTTTCCCAGATGATGCTAAAGAATGCTGACCCAGCACACCTATCCTCTGGCCTTGCTGGGTTTATGAGTTTGAAGTTCTGGGGGGCCTTCATTCCAGGCTGTTGATATCCCATACAAAGAACTGAGCAGGACAGCAAAGGAGTAACATGAGAAAGATTCTTGTTCAGGTGTGACAAAGTTTATTTTAAAAAGTAAAGGTGAAATTTGAGGGAGAAAATGGCTCTGCAGAGCAAGATTTGTCCAGTTGGAGTAAAAGAGAAAAGAGCAAAGTGGAAGAATGCCAGAGAAAGCAGGGTAGGCTAGGTGAGAAAAGCCACAAAAGCTCCTGCTTTCTGTGTCTCCTATTCAGTCCAAATCTCAAGGAAACCCATGAGAACCTCTAGCCACAGGTCCTGAGCGGTGATGCTGGAATCCCACATCTCAGGCTGATGTCAGTGCTAGGCCACCCCATTGAGAATCTGCTCGAATTCTCATGAGAAGCCCTCATGTGGGGAGCTGTCCAGCACATGTTATGGAATCACAGTTAACAGGTCACACCTACTTTCCCAACCAGCCTTGCCAGGCCCTAATTTCCACATCAGACCTACAGCATGCCGTATCGCTTTTTCCTTATAAGCTTCAAGGCCAGGGCCCCTTGACTCATGCTTCTTGTTATTTCTCAATACTTTCCAGACACATTCCATAATTACTTAATTTGTTACGTTTAACAGACACACTAGTATCTGGACTTGGTTAAGAACCTATGAAGACTTGACAAAAATCAGGCTCTGAAGTTTGACTTCAAACCTTAACTTTTTTTTTTAATGTATTCAGTACTTTTATGGTACCTTTCTAGTTGTAAAATAGTGTCATAATTGATTCTTCTGCATTTCATTTGGATTAAACGGTTCTTTTTCAGCATGTAAGGACCAAGTGACTTCGGTGTCTAATGAAGCACTCTAAAGGAGTAAGAGACTTTGACTGTGAGATAACCTGCAACTCAATAGAAATTACCTTTTTGGGTGTCTCCACCTTCTTTCTAATTGATTCCTCCACCCTGGCATCCCTTGAGTAGCCCTCTACAGAGCAGGTGGATGCTCCTGTTGGAGAGAAGGGAGACAAGATCTCACCAGCCTATTCACCCTCGAACTGGGCCGTGAATCCTATCTCCTGAAACATCTCACAAACCCTTCACTTACTCTTTCTGAATATTTGTAAGTAAAAGTTACAATTGGTCCAATGACAGGAATGTCTACAGAAGGAAGCATAACCATTGCATAAAAAGTTCAGTTCAAAGTGAGCACTTTTCAGGCTACAAAGGTCACTTCTTGAGATGTATAGAAACACTAACTGGAGGATTTGGCCCTGTGCACTGGGCCATCTCCAGACACTTTTTTCCATCTAATCACCTAGGTAAACATTTTTTTAGCAACTGGACGAGATTGAAACTTGAAGCTCACAGGTGGGACTCACATGTATCATCTCGCATCCTATTTTACATGTTGGTAAAAACACTTTAAGGCTAACAAAAATCTCTTTTCTTACTCTTAAACATGTAAGGTGCAGATGTAAATCATTACTCTGGTAGCCGCTGTAGGACGTAAACTATTGCAGGCTTCCTCAGCCTAATTTCTGAAGGAGTGACTCATTAAATTTTTCTACTGAAAAGCTCAGGTAGTATTTCTAGTTTACTAGCAGAGAGAGAGAAAAAGGTACGCCAGGTAAATGGAGATCTTTTAGTCATCAGGAGCCAATTTCTGCCAAGGAACCTTCGGGTATGGCCGTGACTCCACAGGCGTTCTTAGTTTCTATTGGTCCACACAACCAAGCTCATTCTCCAGAAGGGAATCTAGATGTTTCTCTGGTCAACATTCCATCAGCCGTTAGCTTCAATGGGGATTCACCAAAGAATGACTGGGAAAAACTGTCCTCTGCTTCAAAGAGTGGCAACTTCTCTAACAACATTTACTAGCTGGCAGAGTAACCACTATTTGTCCAAGTTCTATAAGGGATAGTTAAAAACCTGAATAAGAATACCTAGCACTTTCCAGTAAAGGTTTTAAAGTCTACAACTTATCTCTTATGCATCTAAATGATAACTAGACCTAGGAGAAAAGGTTGAGATTCTTCCTTACACTGAAGGTATTTTGGTCCCATAAGCGTGCTGCTTTTGGAGATATCTCCTTCGGGTGTTACCCAGAAGTCGATTCTCTCCACTGCCTCAAGTTTAGCCTCCTGAAGGAGGCCTGCCTAGAACACTAAATTGGGTCATGTCTTTTATATGTGCCCTCCTAGATGGGCATAGTCCTCTTTGTCTCATCTGACCCAAAGATGAGGTATATGTCCTTTTTCTAAAATGACTTCCCTGTCTTCAGCATTAACAAACACTCATTTTCTAAGGGCTTCACTTAGTTGGAACAGTCTATAGAATTGTCCATAATTTTACATGCCTCTAAAAAGGAAAGTACAAAGAGGTAGGAAAATTAGGAGTAAAGTCAAAGAAAGGAAACTGAAACAGATCAGGCCTGACATTTCCTCTAGCATGTAGAGGTTCAGAGCCAGTCTGTCCCAGTGAAACCTGTCCTCCAAGTCTTTAAGAATGGTTGCTGACCTAATGTCATTAAGTTGGCAAAAGGAGTTCTGCATTTTATATACAGGCATGTATATTTTCTAAGTCTGAGCTAGATTTAAAAGTCTCATTTCATAGAAGTGTGTATAAAGTCCACTAGGAGTCTTTCTAATTTTATTCTCCCTAGTGTTATTGTCTAAAGTCAAGCAAGGAATATCAGTACATTTAGCAACTAGTTCAAATGCAACATATATAAGTATAAAACAGTCATAAAATGTCCCATTTAAGAAATACCATAACCTTGCAACATTTGCATGTTTTAACTTAGGTTTACCAACATCATTTTGACCAGCATTTTAACAAAGCAATATAAGAGAGAAAGCATAAGCGATTATAAGCGATTTTAACCAAACTATGAGAAAAAACTGTATGAGGCAAGGCATGAACAATTATAAGCAATGGGCAAAGACATATCAACATTTGAAGCATAAAAATTTGCTACCTAAGCAAGTTCCAATCCAGAATTTATGAAAGAAAAGCAAACTCATACCTCCATCCAATGATCTTGGTGGGGACCTCCAAATGACACAGGGTAAAACTGATCTTGGGTGGATGACCTCCAAAATGATATAAGGGGAAAAACAAAACTCCCAACCTGAAAAGTACCTGGGATGAGTTCGTGTTCTCTAAAATCAAAGAATAAATTTTAGGAACAAACAGAGGTTATGAGCAGCATATATTTATTGGGGGAAAGAAAACTCCTGTCTAAGAGAGGGACAGAAGGGGGGCCTGAGTGGGTCGTCCCCCTCCCTCAAACAATTTTAATAAATATAGCAAACTGCCTGTTGTTCCCACCTGAAACACGGAGTGTTGTAGGAAAAACTTTCACTGGCCTGCCCACAGTTGTAGGCAGGCTCCCAAGGGAAAAGGGACACCCAGCAACACCTAGATGAGCAGGGCAGAAAGAAGGGAAAACAGGTTTTGCAGCTTAATCAGAGAAGGATACATGGACTGAGTAACTCGGATTGTCTGGAGAATGGAAAAGCACCCTCCTGCTTTTTTCTTTTTCCAAACTTGTCATTATTATTGTTTATTGCAAAAATTTAGATATACATAACGAACGATGATATGTTTCTTTGGGCAAGGCTGAAATAGAGAGCCTCAGAATCAGCACCAAGGACAGTGGCTTTGGGACATGCCCTGAGATACTAGTAGTGGGAAAACCTTAGAGGAAAGACAGAAATGTCCACAGTATTTCCCCACTAAATCACTGATGGAAATCTGATCTACAGAGGTCTGCAGAAAAGAATGGTAGAAGCTTGAAGCCAGGACACAAGTTAGGCGGCGGTCACAGTTTTGAAGGCTTTGGTCAGGAAATTGTAGGTCACAGGGGAAATTGTACAGTTAATCAGAGCAACAGGCACTCCAGTGAAGAGGCAGTGTGGAAGATCTGGAGAAACAAAATGTATTTATATACAGTGAAATAGTGCTACACCCAAAAGAAGGAGAAAGTTGAAACATTTGTATGAAAACAGATGCACCTTGAAAGAAATCAGACACACAAGTTTAAAGACGGTATGGCTTCTTTCATTTGAGAAATCCAAAGTATAAATAAAAGGAAACAAGTTCGAAACTACAAATGGGAAGGGGACCAAGATATGGAGAGTGACCTCAGGAAAGGTTGAGAGAAGGGAATATAAAAAAAAATTTAAATGTCATACCAAATTCCCACAGTGAAAGTATC